TGCTCTTTCTCCTCCATAATTTCTACACTTAACATCAAATAGTTCAATAGGAAATAGTTGAATAATCGAAATACTATCGAATACTATCGCATACTATCGAATACCTAAAAATTAAAATAGTCGTAGAGTTTTTTTTATAAATCTAACGATCTATAATGAATAAAGATCCCTAATCGACAAAGTTTTGGATTACTTTTGTTGTTCCTGCTGCCCTGCTGCCATAATCTATATCCCGCTCTCTCTGTTTCTCTATTTTTGCATTCCTCTTCTATCCTTCTTATCCTTGCAGGTCCTCCGTATGCACCGGCATCCTCCTCCTCATCGGCCTCGATTGGTGTGGGCACTGGAACCATATCCATTAATCAGCGAGGTGAGAAATCCCTGGGTTTCTTTCCCTCCTGGAAGACCCTGGCCCTGGCCTCACTGGCCACGGCCACGGAGGAGCGTAATCCCTATTTCCTGCCACCGCCACGTCTCCTGCTCGATGGCAGTTCGAGTTCCCAGGAATCCTCATCCTTGGACAGCAATCCCGAATCGGAAGCTAGCATTGATATCGACCTGAGTGTGAGTCCCTATGGCGGTAACAACTCCTCATCGATGCTGCTGGACAACGCCCGATTGCCGGTGAATAACGATGTGATCGATGAGATCGAAAATGAGGTGGCACGTGCCCATGATCTGCTCGATTTGGAGCTCTCTGGACCCGGTTTCCATCGCAGTCCGGCGGCAGCGGCGGCCACCTCGGCGGTGTCACAGCAACATCTGAGTAGCCTTTATGCCAGCATGCCATCCGGTGTGCGATCCGCAATTGTGGCCAGCTCAGCGATTGTGATCACAGCCCTGGCCACCTTCCTAGTGGTCTTTGTCGTCTGCCGTTGGAAGCAGCAACGTCGTCGCAAGAGTAGCTATCTCCGCACCTACAATGCGATGAAGAGCAAGTTGCCACAGATGGTGCAACCATCGCGACGCTCCTCGATGCGTCAGCACATGGAGGAGCTTGTCATTGGCTCGAGCACCGGCACCGGCACCGGCACCGGCACCGGCACCGGTTCCGGATCCAGTCCAGGCATTGCTAGCATCTCCACATCGGTGGCCTGCTGTACGCCAGTGCATCAGCTCCAGCAACGTCAGAGTTCTCTACTCTTTGGACGCGATGGTACGGCGACATTGAGCACCACCACTGCCACCTCCCTGACCAGCAATACGAATACCACATCAGGTGGCACAAAATCAGGAGCAGCGGCGACATCATCCTCATCAGCATCCTTGGAGATTCAGCAGCTGAGTGGAGGAGGAGTAGGAGGAGGACGTGGTCTCCGAAGTGCACACCAGAAGCTCAACACCATGGATCCCAATTCGCCAGAGGTGCAGGAATATCTATTCGATACGCTGCGCAAATCCTTTGACAATTAGGCAATAGGCTATGTAGACGCTCCTCTAGGAACAATAGACCGTTGTTTAGGCCAAGTTTTATATAAATGTACACTCCAAACACACACACTCTCCCCCAAAGTCATACCCCAGAAAGGCCAAGGAGCTAAAAAGTTAGTCGATTAATTAGTTTAAGAGCAGGTGAAACGACAGGTGGAGTATGTGTTTTTTTTTTTGGAGATCGATTTAGAGAAACATTCTGTGAGAGAAAAGTAAAACTAACGAAACAAAATACAAGAAAATAAACATTTAGAACAGTGCGGGGCATAACCAAGGGGTTGCTTTAAAAATCAAGAAGTAAATAAAATATAAAAGAAATTAAATGCAACTAAATCTTTTGCTTTTTGTATTTTTCAGTTTGCTATTGAATTAAATGATTGAATGGTAAATTAATCATAACAATCATACTTGTAATCCTTGAATCGATTTTTATGAATATTTTTCTATGACAATTTTGTTGAATAATCATAATTTAAAAAACTCATAACTTAGTCAAAAATTCAGTAATTTCAATTCAGAAAGCGTTCGTATGTTAATTTTTAGCAGGTTAATAAAACTGCATACTCCATTTAAAATTTTATTTTTGGCCGATTTTTGCAAATTTGAATGATGTAACCCCTTTCCTTTTTTTTTTTCAAAAAATGGGAAATTTGTGAAAAAATTGTTTTTCGCCCGGATAAAGCTAGAAAAATTCGCCTGTTGATGCTGATCAAGAATATATATGATTTATGGGGTCGGAAATGATTCCTTCACTTAGTTTGAGCTTCTGACTGAAATTATAATACCCTTAAAATCCCTCTTTGGCTGTATTTTTGAAACTTTTGATTTAAAGCACCCTACGGTCATGTCCCGCACTGTCTGCTAGTCTCTAAGCTCGGCAAACTATCGTTTCCAACTAACTAGAATCTAAATTACGAATAAAAACCAACAAACTAAAGGCACTCTCTTTCAACTAAATCATAAAATGGGTTTCTTAAGCACAAAACAAAAAGAAAAACAACACACCAGCAAAGGAAAATATTCGTAACACAAAAGGAAAAACCATTGTGAAAAGCAGGAACAGGATTTTGGCACAAAAAAAATCGAATATTTGTATGAAAAAAGAAAAGAAAAATCAGAAATGCGAGAAGAGAAAAGTAAAAACCATTTATGAGGACAATAAAAAATATAAAAAAAGGAAAGAGAAAAAAAAAACTATGTTCGAGACTAATTAAACAAAATTCGATTTCGAATTAGATCAAGGCAAAGGCATAGATGGGCACAAAATAACAAAAAGTGAGCAGCTACAACAACAACACTAATAGTTTCAATGTTCAAAATGCACTGCAAGAAAAGAAATGCGAGAGAAATAGAACAAGATACTTGTGTATTTGAGTTTGTAGAGCAGGCACATTATTTTTGTTCAATTTTCAATGCCCCCCAGCCCCTCTCTCACAGTAGTAGAAGAACATCTGGCGACAGAGAATATATATAATATATATAAATAAATATAAATATATATTTAAGCACGCTCAAATATGTATGTAAATAAGTATCAATTTGATTTTTTTGAGAAATAAAATGTAGAACAAATTGTGGCAAAGATTTTAAACATTTCAAACACACATATATATTCTATAGTATATAATATATAATACTATAAAGTATATATGTATATGCAATTCAATGGTTTCTTGCGATCATCCGAAGTTTGTCCTCGAAATTCCGCCACTCCTATAAATAGAGTCCGCCGAGTGGAGCAACAACATGCTCCAGATGAACCGGCCCCGACCCCGTGCCAAGTGGAAGCGGAATCCGTAAATAGATCTCCGCCAGAAGCCAGACGAATCCGGAGGAGGAGGTGGATGATAGGATGGAAGGTCAACAATGGTTTGTGGCCATCTGTACTCCCAAAAAAACAATGAAAAGAACCAGCTGGTGGCATCTTAATTAATGGCTTACGAAAGGGATTCGGGATTTTGTAAATTTCCCTTTTAAAGGTTTGTTATTACAAAATCGAATCTTTCGATATAAACATTATGATTTTGCTGATTTTTCTGCTTGCTAATCAAACTGAACAGAGAAATAACAAAAGACCCCTGGACTTCCTGTTTAAGTCTGGCTTTTTTTGTTGAGAGAAAATAAAGAAGAAGCCTAACCAAAAATAAATAAATAATCAAGAAATCTGCTGAAGAGCAATAATTCTTGGGAAAAATAATACCAAGGCGGAGATCAATAATCAAAAGTAATAATTCTTGGGAAAAATAATACCAAGGGGGAGAAATCAAATGTTTACAGAGTCGGAACAAATCAAAAACCAAGCTAGGGTTTTGATTTGGATTTAAAATGGATTAAATTTTGTTCTTAATTTAATTTGAAATTGATTTAAATTTAATTTAAATGTGATTTGAACTTAAATTGAGTTGTATTTAAGTTTGATTTTAATAAGATTTGAATTGGGTTTGAATTGAAATTGATTACAATTTGTTTTGAATATGATTTGATTTGAATATAATTTAAATTATATAATATAAATTTATATATGTTCTTTATTTATTTTGAAATTGAATTAAATTATATAAATTAAATATGATTTCAAATTGATTTAAATATGGTAAGAATGTGATTTAAATTTTATTTAAATTTGATTTGAATTTAATTTCAATTTAATTTGAATTTGGTTTGAATTTGATTTAAATTTGATTATAATGTGTTTTAAATTTAATAGAAATTTGATTAACATATATATATATATATTGTAATTTTAATTCCAATTTAATAAGATTTAAAATTAATTTATATTTTATATGATTTCAATTGTTATGAAAAAATTTAAAATTTAATTTGAATTTTATTTTAAATGATTTAATTATGATTTGAAATACATTTATAATTGGATGGAATTTTTATTTCAATTTGATTTGAATTTAATTTAAATTTTATCTGACTTCAATTTGACTTGAATTTGTTTCAAATATGATTTTAATTTGATTTGAAATTGATTTGAATTTAATTCGAATTTCATTTAAATTTGATTTTAATGTGTTTTGAATTTATTTTGAAATTAAATGGGATTTTGATTAAAACTTTATTTAAATTCTATTTGAATTCGATTTGAATTTAGTTTGAATTTGAATTTTGAAATAAGTTCTATTTAAATTTTATTTAAATTGTATTAAATTGTTATTTAAATTCTATCTAAATATTTAGTTTTTAAATTCGATTAATATAAATTATATTTCATTTAAATTTGAAGTACATTTGATTTAAATTGTATTTAAATTTGATTTCAATTTGATTTCAATCTGATTTCAATCAGATTTCAATTTCATTTCAATCTGATTTCAATTTGTTTTCAATCTGAATTCAATCTGATTTCAATTTGATTCCAATTTGATTTGATTTAAAAATCATTTCAAATAGGTTAAAACATGATTCGAATTTAATTTCAATGTTATTTGTATTTGATTGGAATTTAAACTTATTTTAAAGTTAATTTAATTCACTTAAAATTTATATTTCAAATCAAATCAAATCAATACTAAAACTAGAACTGTACCCACCACCTTAGAGCGCCATTTACGGCCAACTCACCTGTACAGCTCATAGCACAGGCCGTGCTGTGTGAATAGGACACCCATGGAACCTCCTCCATCATTGCTGCTCGCCTCCGAACGGATGTGGGCACACTTGTACATGTTGGCATACTGGCGGGCAATCACACGGCACTGACGCAAGGCCACCGCACCGGCGGCGGTGCCCCGGAGGCGCTGCATCTGCGCTACACTAAAGTACAGCACCGTATTGTACTTGGCCGGAAGAAGATCAATGTAGGGATGCCACTCGCTATCCGTGCCGCGCACCTTCTCGATGACCAGGGCATAGGCCAGATTGAAGTTCGTCAGCAGCGGATAATTGCAGAAGAGACGCCGATCCGATTCCGGGAGATGTTCCTCCGAAAAGATCAGCTTACGGGGCACACTTAGCACTTGCTCGTCGGCGGCCAGGTCACGGGTGGCCCGTAGGCCCAGTTGGTAACCCGGAAAGATGGCTATCTCGACGCCATCGCTGCGCACGCCGGCCGCTTTGGCCCACTCACTGAACGCCTGCACTTTGGCCAGCCGCTGCTGATCGTCGCCGGCGGCGATCTCCTGGCACACCGCCTTCTGCAGTGGCTCCTCCAGCTGGGTAATGCGCTCCAATAGTTTCTGCAGCTGAACATACTGGGTCCACTCATCATTGGGATTTGCCGGCTGTACTTGCACCAAATCCAATAGTTGCAAAACCAATTGGTTAAGCTCTTTTCGCTGCTTTCCATTTGTCCGGGGGATGCGTCGTTGCAGGGCATTCTGTTCCTCATTCTTATTGTTGCTGCTGCTGTTGTTGTTGTTGTTGGTAGTGGTGCTGCTGGAGGATGCAGCTCCACCGCCGCCGGAAGCGGCTCTAGCTTGTTGCGCCTGCTGCTGTTTGGCTTTGTTGTTGCGCTTGCTATTCTTGCCCATGGCGCTGCCGGTGGTGAGGTGGTGGGGGGCTGAAGATAAAGACACACAGAGAGCGCGCGCGATCGAGTGAGAATGTAGCACCGCCGGCTTTGAGCCAAATAAGGAAAATAAACTCCAAATGCAGGCGGCAGGCACGACGAAAAAATAAAAGCTCAGCAGCACGTGCCTGGCGGTTTATGTATGTGTGTGTAGGTGTGCGGCGGGGGCGACCAGCTGTTGCGCAAGTGTGACCAGTCGTGAAAATACCAAAAAAGTTAGCCACCCCCGCAAGACCATTACTTCTTGATTGGTTATCGGGTGGACTGTGAAGGCACAAGAACTCCAATTATAATCCTTAGAAGTAGTATACAATTTACTTAAAACTAGTTTTACTTATTTCTCACACCTTTTATATAAATAGACTTTTTAATACCCAACATAATTTATCGATAAATATAAAAAATACCAAACATTAAAAATATACCAACTTGAATTGGATTAATACCTGCAGACTGGTCACACTACTTTAATCGACCGATAGGTATGTTATCGGAAGCTTCATTTCAAATTTGATTTCCGTTACAATGGCTCTCAAACTGTAGACGTTCGATGTTCTCTGTAAAATAAATAAAAATTTAGTTTAATAAATATAATGATTTAAATAATTCAATTAAATCGAACTTAAATTGGAATTCGAGATCGTTTGTCTTTATTTGAAGATATATATATATATTATTAGATGTATAACATTGGCGGTTAAGTTAACAATATAGTGGATTTAATAAATATTCAATTATTTAGTTGGGTTTTCGTTAATATTATCGATAAACAACGTTCACAAAAAACTTTGGTGTTCTTAATCTGCTCTCTGATATCATATTATAATACGTTTCGAAGCGAATCCTAAAATTAAAGGTAACGAGAAAGATTATCATGCTATTATATATATATATATATATATATGTATGTTTATATATATATATTAACAAATTTAGCCAGCTACACGTGTTATTTATAAATGTAATTGAGTATCTCTCGCTCTGCCTGTGCTTTCACCAACTCCTACACTGCCTTCATCAAACTTCTTCTTCAACTTCAGGTCACGGATCTCACATATCTGTCAGATTTGATTGTGCTCTGTGGGGGGAAGTCAGAAGCACAGGAAAGTCCTCCCGGAACTGGGACTGTTTACTGGTACTGGGACCGAACAAACAACGCGAAGCCTGGATAGTATGTATATAGATATATCTTGTCTATGTATAGTATAAGTTTGCGGTGTATTATGGAGAGTCTGATTCCGCATCCATTTGCTCTATCCCGATCTCCGCTTAAAAGCTAATAATTGAGACTGCATCTGGGCCGGCATAGGTTACTCCATCACTGCCTGGCCACCATGTCGAGGCCACCCTCCTCCTCCATTTTGGACAGGAACTTGATGGCCCGCTGCGATGGCTCCGTCTGGCGGGCCATATCGATTAGGCCCAATAGCTTCTTGATGCCAATGAAGACGCTAAAAGTTAGAATAATATAGTTACAAACTGATTGCTAATGGAACGATATTATATGATATATAAATAATGATTTTCTTGATCCATATTCATCTCTAAAAGATGAAATTGTATTATTTAAGACATACCGCTTGCCGGCCATCTTCTTGCCAATGGCCTGAACCTCGCCCTTGCTAAAGATATCCGTGTGCTCGAGCACGGCCAGAACATGCTCCGGATGCGAGAGATTTGGTACATGCAGCACAGAGGTAAATGCCGTCAGCATCTCCATCTCCTCGAGCACCTCCCTGGAAGGCAATATCAATTAAATGCTGTTCTTATTACAAGATAAGATTCTCTTCAAACTTACCGCCTGCTGGAGGTGCACAGGATGAGCAGTTTCCTGCCCTTGGGTGGCTGTTTCTTGAGCAGCACCAGCAACGCCTGCAGCGTCATGTTCGAGTAACGTGGTCCAATTGAACCATAGTCCAGCAGACGCTCTACATTGTCCACCACAATGCAGCTGAGAGTAGAACGATAGGCATCGTCGAAGATCTTCCTGATATGCAGGCACTTGGCTGACTCGGTATAGCCCACCATATCCTCCGGTGAGCAGACCTTGACGAATGGGAAATCCGACATCTTTGCGAGCTGAGCGGCCAAAGCGGTCTTGCCAGAGTTAGGGGCACCGGCCACTAGCACAGAGACCAAGCCACTTGATTCCGGAGCCTTAGCCTGCTGGACATAGAGCATTCCATCCTCCAGAAGATTGCTGACAGGGGTACCCCAGTTGATCACACCACGGGCCAGCATATTATCGAGTATCTCCTGGGCCGTGCCAAACGCCGGCTTAATATCATTCTCCAGCGAATGGAGAAAGTCATCGCGATTAACCTTTAGCTTCTCCATGGCCTCGGGATCTACGGTGACCTTGGCATCGGCCTTAATCAGACGATTCATGGCACTGGACTGGGCAGCACGCACCAGACCCTCCAGCTCGGCGCCACTAAAGTTCTTCGTCAGAGCTGCAATCTCCTTGTTATCCACATCATCGTTGATCTTGTTAAAGTCCCTCATCCGCTTCGTATGAATGTTGAGAATCTGGACACGTCCCTGCTCATTCGGCAGACTGATCTCCATTTGAACTTCCAGGCGACCCGGTCGCAGGAGAGCCTCATCGATCATATCCCGACGATTGGTCATGCCAATGACAAGGATATTGTTCAACTGATCAACGCCATCGATCTTGGTCAGCAGCTGATTGACGACGGTGTCGTGGACACCGCTATTACCGGCCACACTGCCACGCTGCTTGCAAATCGCATCGATCTCATCGAAGATGATGATGTGCAGTCCACTATTCGGCCCGAGGCGCTTCTCCTCCTCCTCGGCCTCGGCAAACAGCCTGCGAACATTCGCCTCCGACTCACCCACATATTTGTCCAATATCTGCGGTCCATTGACTATCTTTGGCTCTCGGGCATTCAGCATGGTTCCAATTTGACGCGCCATCAGGGTCTTGCCCGTGCCAGGAGGTCCGTAGAGAAGGATGCCCTTCACATGCTTGCAGCCCAGCTGCTCGACGAGCTCCGGCGGGAAGACACGCGAGGCAAAGGCACGACGAAAGATCGAATTGAACTCCTTGTCCAGGCCACCAATGCCCATCTTGCCAAAGTCCCAGTCCGGATTAATGATAGACTGGCGCACCACCTTGCCCTTGCTCTTGCCCTGAAGATTCAGGGAGCTATTCTCGGCCTTCTCGAACTGCACCACCGTGTTGCCAAGGATGCGGCCAAAACGTACATTGCGCATGGCCGGCTCCTTGCCCTCGCCAAGGCTCTTGGGATCGATGGCCTCCAGTGATTTGACCGCCAGTCCCAATAGCTTCTTATCCTTGAAGTTAAAGACCAACGATTGGCCCACAGTTAGGGCCATGCCGGCGAACTGCATGATAAACTCCTTGGCCATTTGATCCGAGTCATAGGGCTCCTGGGACACGCTAAGGGATCAATAATATATATAATATAATCGAAAGGACATTATGTAATTCCTGCATACACTTACGTTTTCTTCTGCAGAAAGTCCGTTTCAAAGGAGACACATGTTATGACATCGGAGCTGGCATCGAAGCGATATGGACGCACCTCCAGCTCCTGGTTAATAGAGACCATGGCCCACTTCCTCTGGACCAAAGAGAAGCCCACATAGCCGCTGGGCACCTCAACGGTCTTCTCCAATGCAAAAATAAAATGCTGACCGGGTGCCGGAGAGATGTCTGCATATCTATGATTACGGGAAAATATATGTATATAAATAATGGTAATTAGTCATGGGAGAGCTGAGAAAAACGCACTTGACATCCTCGGGAAAGTCACTAACACTGACAATGGCTCGATTGGTGAGCGATAGCTCGTCCGTGGGACACTTGGTGGCCTTCAAGCGCTGCTCAAATGTAAGGAAACCATTATAAATAACTAAAAGTACTTGATAAATATATAATCAAAGACTCACATAAGCCATGGCTGCTCCGGATTTTCCACTAGGGGTTGTTTATGCCCACAAAAAAAAAATCGATGCCAAGAGCTTTGGCGGACGCGCACTCACAAAAAATGCACAAACTTTTCACTTATAACTGTAAAACTCTGCAAAGACGATGTCACACCGTAACTTAAACTTTGCCTAACTTAATTAACTTGCCAATTATTTTGTAAATGTTTAGAGTAAGACCACTTGTGTGTTCTATTGCTCCTGGGACGCTTTTTCACAGTCTGGCAAAGAAAATTCTCTGTAGCTACGGTTAGTTTTTCAATAAATTGCTGCACACGCGCGCAGGTGTTTATGACCGCGCTGCCCGGTGAATAGTTAGCCGCGTTCGTGGCGAATGCTTTAGTTTTTTAAATATAACGCGGGTAAACTTGTTATAATTAAACATAAACTTAGCCTAGTCATATTAATTTTTTATTATTTTGCATTTGTTTTAAACACAGCTGTGCATTTTCCTTCACTGCATTTGGAATTTATTTCTAATCACTACGCTCTTAGAGAGACAACCGCTGGAAGTGAAGAGCGTAAGAGAGAGTAAAACAGCTATTCTCACCACCTTAAAAAGCTGTTTATAGCATGAGAATGGCGACAACCGTATACGTTGCTCGGTGAATGGTTAAGAAATTCGAATTGAAGGCGGGAAGTGCAAGAATAAATAAAAGCAAAGAACACAGAAATTATCTCTGACAAACTCTTTTACTTTAATGCTGGCTGTTCCGCATTATATGTTGAATAAATTAAAAATGCTTTTTCGTTCCATTGCTATGACCATTTCGTGTAGCACATACAGCTTGCTAGAAATTGCTAAAATTTGTTCGGCCAGCTGCCACATCTGAATCGTGTTGTCCTTCTTGCTGTCGTCTTCAATGATTCGCGATAGGATCGCGCTCTGCATGGTCAACATCTCGGTGATTTCTCGGTATTGATCCTCAACCAACTTGGCCTGGCGACGACGCTTGAGCTGCCCATAAACGATTAATCCGACGAGCACCAATAGAGACAACGCCAAATAGTATACCGATACGTAGAGCGATAGAATGCCGAAAAATGTTGGTTTTGGATCGATCTTATGAAAAAGATTTGGAAATACTGTATGTAAATGTTTTTTTATCAAAATTTAAACTCATCGTAGGGCTTGTTTGAGAACTTCATTTTTGATGTTGCTCGATGTTTACTCTTGAAAGGGTCGATGTAAACTGAAATTTCCCTAGAACACACACAGTCAGGTAAACTGACAATTGCCAGTTTGGAGTTGGCAAGGATTACTAGATGAGTACAAAAATGTTTTGGGAATGCACAGATTTTTCAAATCCAAATCAATTGGATTTCGATCTAGGCATCATTGACTTTGGTTTCGTCTTTCCTACACCAAGCCTTGGATATTCAGTTTCAGTTTATCACTCTACCAGCACTTGTTCACTTGGAAACATTTTCATTCGTTACATTGTAAGATTAAAAGAAGCATCTAAAATATATACTCCAAATATAGCTCTTTATAAATTTTCTAGTTTCGATAAGGAACATAAGTAAACTACAATTTTTCAACAGAGTTTTACATACCTAAGGCAAGAAGAATTCACTACTCCTGATTTTCGCATCATAAACGGTGAGTATTTGGGGTAAATAACTTGCACAAATCGAAACAGAAATCTTTAAAGAAACAATTTCGAAATCGGTCGCCCGTTGCGCGCGTTGTGTTCGCTGACAAAAGTTTCGTGGCACGAAACCCGCGTTTCATGCATGGTTGTTGCAACTTGTATTATCGAACATGTTTGAACATCTTCGAACGCAACGTTTGTACACCGCAACAAATTAAAGCAACCACTGCAATATTTCGGTTCTCTTTGTTAAATTTGAATTAATATTTCAGTTTATTTGCCGCTTGTAATAATAAACAGTGAAATAGATTTGTTGTGCATTTTGGTACGAAAACAAAATCTATATATTGCCGAACTCAAATACCGTTTAGCAAAGCCAAATATACGCATTCAAAAGAATTTGCCAAATTCGTGACTTAAAAATAAACGAAAGTGTTTTTCGGTATTAAAAATTCGTCTTCGCCTGTGACTATTTCGATTTCTTGCAGTGCAGAGCACATGCAACTTCGAGCGGCAACTACAACCGCAACGAACCTGAGAGATAAAGTGGACTTCGACTTTTCAGCTCTGTGGACTGCAACTATGCCTCTTTTTCAGTGTTGACATTTTAGCTATTTTTCCTACTAGTTCTAGCATTTACCAAGTGGCACGTAAATTATGCAGCTTTTGTAACCCCTTATAAAATTTTCAATTTTTGGAAAAAAGTCAAAAATTTATTTTTTGACCGGACGTGGCTAGAACGACTGAGCTGGTGATGCTGATCAAGAATGACTCAAATGACTCTGACTCTAATTATATTCTTCAAAAAGGTATAAAAACAGACAATTTTTTTGAAAAATCAAAGTTTTTCGGACATCATAATTTGGCCGAAATTGCATTAATTTTAATTCGGAAAGCTTTTATGTGCTAGTTTTTATTGCACCAACAAATCTGCATACTGCGTTTGTTGATGCTCTTGTCAGCTTTTGACTAAAATCATAAAAACCTGCTAAAAGGTATAAAATCAGACAATTTGTTCCAAAAATCATATTTATTTATTTATTTTAACGCCGTGCAGGGTATTTAAATTTTAGTCAGAAGCATTAAACTAAATGAAGGAGTCATTTCCGACCCAATAAATCATATATATTCTTGATCAGCATCAACAGGGGAATCTTACTAGCTATCTCCGAAAGAAAAATTAAATTTTTAAAAATTTTTAATTAAAAAAAAGAAAGGGGTAACATCGTTAACATTTGCAAAAATCGGCAAAAATTTCAATTTTTTAGAAATTTAGATTGAGTATGCAGATTTATTAATGTAATAAAAACTAAGACAGAAACGGTTTCCGAATTGAAATTAATGCATTTTTGGCTGAGTTGTGAGTTTTTTAAGACGAAGAAATTGTCTTACAAAAATATTTATAAATATTGATTGAAAGAATGCGATCTAATATTTTTATAATTTTTTTTTATACAATAAATCGTTAATGCTACGAATGCAATTATTGCCTGGATATGCTAGATTTAGCCCGAAATAAGCCAAATTGGCATCACAGCATGGTGGTTTGAAACTTGAAATTCAGACTGAATAATACAGTTGTAAATTGGTAACGGCAGCGATCCGACGTCCGTGGTGCCAAGTTATAGCCTCTGAATCGTGAAACGTGCAACAAATAATCATTGTTTTGAGGGCAGAGTGCGTCGAAAAAATGTGGCAAAACCAAACGAAGCGATTAAAGCATTTACTCTAATTTATATATAAATGTATAATTTTTTTTGTTTGCTACAAATCCAAATTTGTTGTGATTATTAGCTTAAATAGTTGCGAGCGGAAAAGTTGGTAACACTGTTTTCGCCACCGCGGCTAACGGAACGTGTGAATCGCCAAAGTTCGATTAGGAAATCACGAATCTTTATCAATAATGCCGAACCGTTTTTGTAGTACCGTGTTTACGTAATTGCAAAAAAAAAAAAATAAAATAAATATAGTATATAGTTAGTTTAGTAGTTTTTTTTTTTGATGTGCCGCGAGTGAGTGAGGAAAAGCAGCGAAGGAAAACGGAAAACTGCAGCGTGGAAAATACGCAAAACTACCTGTTGGAGATACGAGATCTCTCTTTCTCCCTCTCTACGTCCCTCCCTCCCTCTCCCTCTCAGCGGGAATTTATATTGAAGGTCGCACCGGTGCCGTGACCAGTGCACGTGCATTTTTCCACCAAAAATATATCCAAAAATAATACAACAACAACAAAAAATACAGGATATAAATAATAGTAATACAAGTAAAAATTATGGCTTGCTCTGCGACTCACCTTATCCCGCTGATTATCCCATGCCTAATCCTGCCCTGGCTCAGCGCCGGCTTCAATCTTGAGCAGCGGCTGCCCATTGTAAAATTCGGACATCAGCACTCGCATTTTGGCTACTCGGTGGCCACCCACACAATTGGCGAGGCCCATTGGCCCAACAAGACAAATTGGTAAGTCCAAAACTGGCGCCAAACATAAATCCTAGGAAATAAATCAGAAAGTTGGAAAAAAATATAAATAAATAAAACTGGGGAACAAAATGTTGACCAGATTTTATAAAAACAAACTAAAAGCATGTCGAGTTGTTAATATATTTAAAGATACTTTTTGTATCTTAATTATTGAGAAACAAATTACTCAACTTAGTTTTCTTACAAAATAAGTCATTATTTATATTAGTAAAAATGCTGATTATATATTTAAAGATATATTTTCACTCTATCTTTATCTTTCCTAATTCAGCTTAGTATTTGTAGTTTTGAAATAAATTTTAAAATATATGTTTAACGAGATAGAAGGTAGAAATAAACTAAAGCAAATGAATATGGTTAAATAAATATAAATAAAAAAATATATATATTTCCTAAAAGATTTTTATATATTTTAAACATTTCTTTTCTAATATTTATCTCCTAATTATTAAACAAATAAAAACCAAATTTTCAAAAAGTCAAACCTTAAATATTATTACCAATATAATATAAATACCAATAAACATTTCCCACAATTTTTTCTTGACCAAAAACGATTACTTAATCTTCTGCGTAACTTCTGCCTTAAGAATTCTTGGCTTAAATTTCCTACCAACAAAATTTAGGGTAAACGCTAAAGCGATTTCAGGTAACAAAAAAAGAAAAAGAATCGCCAACAAGTGGTTCTCTATATACAAATTCTTGGGAATCTCCTGGGTGCCCGAAAGAAAACAGGTTTTGATTTTTGCCAAATCGATTTCAACTTTAATTGACTGGCATTGATTGTTATTAATCAGCAGCGCCAGCAGCCGGTTAACAACAATAACAACCTTAAATAATAATAATTTGCATTGCAATCGCCATACGATGTTTGCTAATGCGCAAAACTTGTTTTCGGAGTCGTATTTTTTTATTTATTTATATACACTTTGTGTATAGTTGCTGCTGCTGCTGGGATTAGCATAAAGTGTTTCGAATATTGATTATTTTGAGAGATGATGCCAGGGCTTTAAAGATGCTTAAATAATAGTTAAGGCCATTAAGCAGTTGGGGGAGGAAGTTACCTTTTTGAAAATTTCACGTTAATGAAGTAATAATGAAAAAAAAATAACCATAAATATAAACAATGTATAAGTCGTAATTTTTAATACCTTATAATTATTATATTTCTTCTTATATAATATTCTTCTTATAATTTATCAATACAGATTTTTTAACGCCTTGGTAATATATTTTAAATAATTTACAAGCTCCCTTGCTAATTCATTTGCTATTTGAAATATAACAATTTAATTATGAGGAAAGTAGCAGAGGCTTGCCATTTGATTTTGCTAAAAATACTTAAAGTTTCAAAATTAATTTCTTTTAAATACCCAAAGCTGAACCAGAGGGTAAAAAATATTTAAACAATTTTTTTACTTATTTAAAACTTCACTCCTTAAAGGTTTTAAAGATAAAGTTTGATTTATTTGCTCAGCGATAGGAAAATGAGTTTTTGTCGCAGACGTTTTATTATTTGTTTGTTTCCATATTTCCATTTGTTTATTTTACATTTGGCTTTTATTTATTTTACTTTTATATATATATATATTTTTTTTTGCAAATATTTGTGACTCTCTTATCGCGTTTTTTCGCCTCATTTTATGGGTCCGCTCAGCTATCAGCCCTGAGATAGCCTGAAGACAAATGGAGGAGAACAGTCGAAATGTTTGTCTTTCTTTCGGGGAATCGCTTAACCCCCGACTGCCTGTCTCTTCCTCGCTTATGATTAACCCTTTTTGCACTCACGAAGCGGATGTGTGGATTAATTTGAGTTTTCACGTTTGTCATGGCCGGTCATATGATGTTTTTTGATGTTTGCCTGTTGATGGCTCATCCCCATTAAAGGTGTCACCGGTCTGACTGACTAGGCTTTCCTCCTTAACAAGTCGGTGACAATGTCTATATATATATATAAATATATTTATATATAAACCCCTATAGCCCCCTTTAGCCCCCCTTGAGCTTTGCTTCGATTTGCGAGCCAAACTTGGCAGACAAAACGGAGCCAGACGTCGGCGGCCATAAAAATGGGCAGACAACAAATCTGGAATCAATACAAGACTAGAGGCCAAAAGGCACTGCAAACAAAAATATAATAAAATATAGTTACAAAAATAATAGTACAAAATATATATATACAAAAATGTATATAATAACTTAGAAGTAATATTAGAAAATGCATAAAAGAAACCCTTTCATGGTATTATAATTTCAGTCAGAAGCTTAAAATTAAGTGAAGGAATCATTTCCGACCCTATAAAGCATATATATTCTTGATCAGTATCAAAAGGCGAATCTTTCTAAGCATGTCCGACAAAAATTAAAATTTTTTAAAATTTTAAAAATTTTATAAGGGGTTACATCGGTAAAATCTTGAAAAATCGACAAAAATTTTAATTTTTTTACATTTTAAATGGAGTATGCAGATTTTTTAATTTAATAAAAACTTACACAGAACAGCTTTCCGATTGGAAATTAATGAATTTTTCACTGAGTTATGATGAATTGAAGGGTATAGGAATTTCGGTTCAAATATCACCTACTTAAGTGCTATTTTTCTGAGTGTGGTTTGGGTCTTGCTCCTTCTCAGTGGGTCAAAGCAATTACACTTGGGCCTAATCGAGATTTCCACCTTCTCCTAGATGGAGCGACAGTCGGCTTCCAGATCGATCTTCACGATGAGGAATAACAACCCATTGTCGGGACGTCCATTAAGTCCATCCCGGATGGCCTTAAATGATATATTACAACGTAAGGAATTGGAGAAAATTCATACCGAACGATTAATGCAAAATCTAAGAGTGGTCAAGAAGAAGGCCTCACTGATTATGAATGACCACAAGAAAAACCATCCGACATGAAGCGAATGGTTCTCGTCCTATGGATAACCCTCAAGGATCTGATTGAAAATATGGAGAAAGAGTCAAATTCCGATTCAGCTGAAACTTTGCCAAATCAAGACTATGAAATAGGTGAAAAATCGGAGGAGCAGCTGGTATTTGAGGCCACGCAGAAGTTACTGCAGATGCGGCAGGATGAGCCCAAAGATGACCTCAAAGTTGAAGAGAATGATCCTAAAGAACAGGATCTTGAAGAGTTTATACGCCAGGAGCAGGCCATTGAGGCGGAGCTCCGTAAGCAGATGGATAAATGGTATCATTGGTATCACGATGACTCTGTCCAAGACCTTGATGATGATGAAGATGTTTACTTTGACGCTACCTCTGAACCATACGAACCTGCTATATGGGACTCAGTGAAGGATATTGCCAAACGATGGTGTGAATTATTATATGAGCAGATGAATTAATTTTAATTCCTGCCGTCATTTAGTTTTGTTTCCCAAATTTTTTAAGTCTTTCAAGGATATACTAGACCTTTAAATATGCCTTTATATGGCTATATATGTAAAATGTAAATTTACATTGAAACACTTGAGAGAAATGTCCTGCGCTATTATTAAATATTGTTTTGTTTTTGAAAGTTAATCACTTGTGTATTATGTATGTCAGGTGGGCATTATCAAGACTAAGCTTGGTTTATGGTTTCGTAAGAGAAAGAAGGGAATTTATGTATGAATCAAAAGGTACAAAGACCGCCGCACTGCAATCAAAAAACCATTTACACGTTCACTTGCACGATCCGTGCTTCCTCGAATCCGTGATGGTGCCCCTCTCCAAAGTCCATGGGATCCAACGTCATGTCATGTCATCCAGTACAGTCCCCCCTCTATACATGTATCCATCATGTTCCATCACGTGCTCCTGTGTGGTCGCTTTTACCTTAGCTCACGCGTGAGTCATGTGGCAATAATCGGGAACATTGGAAAACGGAACGTAAGTAGTTTGGTAGATTGTGGGTTTTTTTAAATATAAGTATTTCTTCAACGATAAAGAAACATTTTAAGAGATACAAATTTATAAAAAGTAAAACACAATTATAATTATTTAGAAAAGCAAGTAGTTCTACTATTTTGTTCAACAAACGTGCTAATGGTTGGCTCGTTTTATAAATTACCATCGCTCAAAACCAATGATTCAAAAAAGCAAATAATAATTAAGAATAAAGGTCAAGTTATAAACATGTATCATTTAAAGTGTACGCTTCATTTCATTTAGTTTTTTATGATTCAGGGCATTCTGATACATTTCACTCTGACTCTCCACTGATTCATTGCGTTCCCCGGAAATTCTTTTCTTCCGTTTTTGTTTTGTTATCCTTTCGTTCCTAATCTGCCACAACGTTTCTCTCTATTTTCTCTCGTTCCAATCGTTTCATTTTTCCTGTCCTGTATATCCTTCCGCTTTATTTTGTTCCGTTTTCCATTCATTAAATTCCATAAACAAGAAAAACGAAACATTTCATTATCTCACCGGATGCGATGAGACTTTTCTCAGTGAAGGCCGGGGACGAGCACTAAATAGTCACTGATTATTATTTATACGCTTCACATTATTTTTATTATTTTATTTTATATTTGTTGTGATAAGTGCAGTTGCAGTTTTATTTGCAACCTTGAATTTCCATCTCGCTGCGTTCCCTTGGCTCCTTTTGTTTGCATTCAGCGATTGTCCCATATTTGTTTTATTAATGAGCAAAAATGTCATTCAGGTGTGTGTGGGGGATATATATATACATATATGTACGTGATCAGGGCAACGACGTGACGCCCTCGTTTGGCTCGATTTAAATGCAGGTACAAAATTGAGATACGGATCGATTGATTGACTGGACCCTCGATTAAGGTACTCAGCCTTTGTGGTGAATTAAATTATCATAATTATATATATATTATATATTTATATATATATTTTTAATAACATTTACAAGCACTTGTTGAAACTAGAATGCTTTTTTGATAAGATAATACACAGTTCGTTGACTATGACTGCCTCCTTAAATCTTTGGGGTATCTTGTGTAAATTTTCTTGAATATCTTGCAGATACTTTTGTAGATTCTGTAAATCTTTTAGATCTTCTAGATCTTGTATATCTTCTTTCTCCATTCCCTAGTGTTTTACTGCCACCATGTGTTCCGGGTTTTGCGCCAAAATAAAAACGAAAAAGCGTTTCTGTTTTTTTTTTCGTTTTGTTTCGGCGAAATGAGGTCAACAGACGCCAAACAGGCGCCCGCAGAGGGGAAGGGGGAACGGATGGGGAAGGGTAGGGGTGTTTTTTTTTTTGTTGTGTCTTAGGGGGTGGCGTTGGGGCTGGTCGACAACAGTTTATGGTTATTATTGTTGCGACTGGTCCCCATGTATCTATGTATCTAAGTATCTCTCTGTACAGAGAACCCAGCCCCAAAAAGCCCATTCTTCACACCCAACACCCAACACACACACACACCCCCCTCCACGTCATAAACAAATGAAGCCAAAAACGCAAAATGTGAAAAGCAAAAAATACAAAAAGAGCGCCAAAACTAACAGACAAGGAAATGGGCAAAAAAAACTTGCTAAGACCCAATGTAAGCTGGCCGACATGTGTGTATATGTAATAAATATAAACTAGAAACAGTGCTGGTCAAAATAGTAGATATAAACAAGTTTTAAGATATATAAAATATATAAATATATCAAACATTTTGATGGTTTTAAAATTTACAAACTATTAAAGGTATTTTCAGGCAAAATAATTAATGTTCTTATGAATAATGAATTAAAAATAAATTTATAAGCAAAAATACAAACTAATTATTAATTAAATATGTATAAACTATATTATATATATATTTTATTTCCCAGGAAAAACTACTATTTTAACCTTAGCTATAGGAGAATAATAAATAAAGAATCAAAAGAAATTCTCCCCTTAAAAATAATACACACTAAAAATATACAAACTAATTTTTAATTAAATCCATATAAACAATATTATATATATTTTATTTCCCAGGAAGAACTATTATTTTAACCTTAACTATAGAAGGCATCCATCACATGGAAAGCCAGAACCGATCGTATGGCATTAAGTGCCCGACTATTTCTAAGGCTGCCGCAGGGTTAAGCATAGAGGGAGGGAGAACAGGGGTTAAGAACCGACGAGGACGATGAGATCCAATCCATGAGAACGAACACAGTTCACTTGTTCAATTTTAGCAAATCCCCTCAGGACACTGTGAAAAAATGCACTATAAACTATTAAAGAGTTCTTAAATCTTAGCTTTTTCTTAAATATAAAAGGTATGTAAGAAGAGATTTTTGTATAGATTTATAATACCCTTCCCTGGTATTATAATTTCAGTCAGAAGCTTAAAACTAAGTGAAGGAGCCATTTCCGACCCTACAAATCATATATATTCTTGATCAGCATCAACAGGCGTATCTTTCTAGCTTTATCCGGGCGAAAAAAAAATTTTCAGAAATTTCCCATTTTCTGAAAAAAAAAGGAAAGGGGTTACATCATTAAAATTTGCAAAAATCGGCCAAAAATTCGCGTTTTAAATGGAGTATGCAGCTTTGTTAACCTGCTAAAAACTAACATAGGAACGCTTTCCGAATTGAATTTAAGGTTTTTTTTTTACCGAGTTATGAGTTTTTTAAACTTTGATTAATCCAAAAAATTACCATATAAAAGTATCAATAAATATAGATTCAAGGAATGCAAAAACTTTTAGCTTAATTCTGATCCTTTAATTCCATAGCAAAATGCAAGGGTATAAATATATATTTTACTTCTACATTAATCCATTTAAAATCCCCTTAAAAAATATATTAAATATAAATCTAAGAATTTCATTATATATGAATATATATTTTTTATTTACCCTTTAAGAGTTTTCACTGTACCATTACCATGGAACCGATGAGCAGGCCATAAACATGCGTGAAAATTCAATTGATTTTCCGGGGAGCCGCCACAGCGAAGGCGGCAAAGTTAGTTGTGCGTATTTATAGAAAATATCTGGGGGAAAAATTGGGGAAACTAACAGAAAAAAATACAGAAAAAAATACAGAAAAAAATACAGAAAAAAATTGCCCATTTCGGTGTGGGAAACAAGACTCGATGCGGATTGTGGCAAGCCGATCCTTGGGCACCGGCAGCTGTCGAGTGTGTGCGGATTGTTGAGATACAGATACAGATACAAAATTGCAAAAATACGGCAACTAATGAGACCCACACACACACAGAGAGAGATACTCCTCTTAACCCAACACACTCCTCTTAACCCCTGTCATAAGTGTGGGCGTCTCTTGATTTATTGCCAATTGCTTGGCACCAAAGAATCGCGCCCAGAAGAGCCGTGAAGAGTCGCGTAGAAATCCGAATCTGATTTCAAATCCGAATCAAAATAAGAAATAGAAAAAAACCAGCGTGGGTTACTTGCAAAAAAATAGAAGAAACAGGAAAAAATGAAACGCTCACGAAGAATTGGAAAAGAGCCCACGCCTTGGGGCAAGCAGGAGAAGAACCCACTCTAAAGAATTGAGTCCCTATGTGTAGCCACGATAAATCAATAAGAACCGAAATCAAGCAACTGTTTCTTCTCTATAAGTAAAGGAGCTTCCAAGGAACTCTTCAGAGTTCTTTGACAAATTATAATGATGGAGAGAATCTTCTGTGGGTGTTGAAACTGCCCCCAGAATTGGTACATAGGAACTCCTTATGAACTCCAACAAATAATTGCAACCTTCTAATGAGAGAGAGAAACTTCAGAGGGTGTAGAATCTTCTGTAGAATTGCCAACAGAAGATTTGTGTTTCATTGCTTTATTAGTTTAAATATTAGAAAAAGTAGAAATGGGAAAGAGAATACATTAAAAGTAAAATAAAGTTCAGGAGCTCAATATAAAGAGAAGATATTAAATAAATCAAGAGATCTAAGAGTAGAAGAATTTATCTTTAGAAAAATAAGATTTATTAAAATTAGAAAATATATGTGTACAAAAAATAGACGATCTTGAGAGTGAGAAGAATTGATACTTTATAATAAACTACAAACAATTAATACAACTTAAACCCTGTTCATATTAAAATCTCTCTCTTTAATAAATAAAATAATCCAAAAGATACAAATATAATTTGCAACAAAATTAGAGCATGAGAAAGTACCACAGATCTTTAGTTATTAATCGCAGTTAAAACAGTTAAAGAAAAGATACATGAGAAAGCCAAACCTCGACCGCAAAATCTTCAACCTCAAATATCTAGGGATCACACATCTCCCATTCGCATCTCACGCAGATTCAGATTCCGATTCAGATTTCGGATTCGGATACGGATTCGTGGCATTAACCCTGGATTCTTGCTCTTGGGTTGGGTGAGATTTATGGAGCAAATACCGTGCTTTTCTCTGCTATTTTCTGTGTGTCTGCCCCGCGGGCTTAAAGCCATGAGAGAAGAAGAATTGTGCGAATGAAACTCGTTACCATGGAGGGGTAAAAATAAAGAACAGCGGGCAAGGAGGGGTTAAGGCAAAGCAGGCCAAAGCCAGGTCCAGATCCAGAGTCAGACAAAGCCGCAAAGATGGATCGAAGAATTGCCAATAC